ATAAGTAAATAAATCTATAAATAAATAAATAAATCTCCTCCTTGGAATACCAGCTTCATGGTCTGACTCTCTGCCCTCCCTGTTCATACCCATGTTTGACCAAATACAACAAACACTTGAGCAGTTGGAGAAGTACTTATACAGTCAGCGGTGAGGCCAAGGTTAAAACTCAGGTCTTCCTGACCCAAAGCCTTTGTTGGGTCATGAGCTCCTGGACAATGTGTTCTGTCACAGGAGTTACCCAGGAGGACCTGGACTTTCTCTCCTGAGAACCCAGAGCAACATGGTCAAGGTTAACATAGATCAATGCAAAGTCCTGCAATTAAGTTCAAAAAGACATTTGCACCAGAGTGCAGTGGGGACCTGGCTACTGGACATCAGCTCATCTTGAAGTGTCACATTTACAGTTCAGCTGCCTTATAGTTCCAGAGCACCTCACAATGTAGAAAGTCCTTTCACTCGCTGATCTTAGGTTTGATTGAGTCTGAAAAAGGCTTGGGGTTATAGCACCAGGGCATATATGAACACTGTGCTGACAGCCTGTTAAGCTAGTCATTTACGTGCTTGTATTCCTCCAGCCTAATAGCATAAATTTTGTGCACAGCCACTGTGCTAAATACATTACCCTATGGAGTTGGTAATTCCTAAATTTTTTAAAATTTATTGCATTTATTTATTCATACAAGAACTGGGGTGTAGACCAAAGGTATGGGGGATGAGAGGGCTCACCAGAGACAGAGTGGGGAGCAGAATAGGCAGATCCACTGAAATACACTGCTGAGGGGAGCAGCAGGTGAGACAGGAGAGGTCTGCTGTGCCATGTGGGTCAGCTCCCTGGCTGGGGATCGAACTTGTGCCACAGTGTCTGGCTATAGCTTGATAGCACTGAGACTTTAACCTTTGTGCCACCAGGGAGGCCTGGTAATTCCTAATTTACAGACCACAAAAACCAACAGATGAAGAAAGGAGAGGGAAGTCACACAGCTAAGAAATAATAGAATTTAGGCTCAGGTCTGATAAGTGCCAAGAGTAATGTCATTTTGGATATTTCAGGACCGCTCTGGAGTCATGTGACCAGGGAGGGTACTGAATTTAAGGGAGACACTGACATACAGAAATAAAGGATCCCTGAGGGGCACTCTCACTCTAAAGGTTGCTTGAAGGACCTAAGAATATTTATCCTGGAGAAGAGAATCAGACACCATCCAAATTCTGTTTTCAAGGGCAGAAATCTCCTTTACTTCCAAGCAGACTGGATTTGCAGAACATTTGCCATTTGTTAGTTAAATTCAAGGGGTCATACAATAGCCGACTGCTATCACCACCTGTTAGTAAGAAGTAAAATCGATGTTTTCACGACTGGGAGGCATTGATGGGTTACCTGCTTAGAGTTGTCATTTGACTAGGGGTGTCGTGGGGTGGCAGTTGTCTTGTCATCTCCAGGAGACTTTTATCCATGCCAGAGGGAAGGAAGATACCGCTGGGGCGGAGCAGTAGGGGAGATATTTTGGACAGGTGAGGGCTGGCAACACTGATCTTCCGGATACAGCTCTTATACTCGACCATCAGAGCGGGTGGCTCAGGGGTAAATGATCATGACCCTCTATCACTTCACAAACCAACTTCCCACACAGGGCCATGTGTCAGCCACTTCACGGAACAACAGTGCTTTGTAGATTCTGTAAATGTTATTAAAGCTCTGCTGGAGGTTCAGAGAGTGGCCAAGGGCAGGAACCAGTCAGGTAGGACCAGCCAGGGCCAGGAGTCGGGGTAAGGGCTCTGGCTGTCCTGCTAAGGCCCAGCCTGTGTGGGTTTTCTCATCCGACCTTAAATTATTTGGGGCCCTGGGTGTCAGCCATTTGTGCCTTGTGTATTCACTGGAACAGAGCCTAGTGAGGGTTGATGGAGAAGCAGTTGTGGAATTAGAGAGGCATCTCAAATCCTAGCATGGCTGCATGTTAGCCTGTGAGTTTAGGTTGATTTCTTATCTGCTCTGAGTCTCTGTTTCTTCATCTCTCCAATGGGCACAGTAATGCACTTTTCCTTACCAGACATGTATGAGGATTAAGTGAGACTCCCACAGTAGGCCTGCGTGCTGTGCCTGGCACATGGTACATCATCATCATCATCATCATCATCAAATTAACTTTTGTCATGAAACCAGCTTCCCCATTCCAGTAGTTTCCTCCATTTTCTATGTTCATGGACCCTGGTCAGAGACACGTTTGATACTGAAATCCCTCTGGACCTCATTTGGTTAACAAGCATTGCTGGGGGCCTCCACATGAAAACACCCACACCCTTGGCCATGGCTGTACCACCACCCTTCCTCCCACCGTCTGATGTGGAAGGAACAGAGATGTCATTGAGAGCCTGGTCCCGAGGTGCAATAAAACATTCTCGGAGACCTCACTGTTCTCAGAAAGAAGAGTAGCTGGGTCCTTCCAAAAGCGAGTCTGTACCTAGAACTCAACGCCCAGGAGGCTACCTGAGGACTTCCAGAAGGTCCTTCCAAACCAGTCCTGGGGCCTTAGAGGCTGCATTACTGGTGAGTGTGTGTGAGTGTGTGTGAGTGTGTGTATGAGAGAGAGAGAGAGAGAAACACACATACATGTGTTTCTGCAGACCTGAAACTGTGGTCATGACCCCCAGATGTGTGCCAGGGGTAGGGTAGAACAGTGGGAAGGACACAGGCTTTGAGGTTCTCAGAGCTGCCTCAAATGCCAGCTCTGCCACTTCCAGGCTGTCTGCACGTACAAGGTTAGCTTTCATCCCCAAGTCTCAGGATTTGAAACAAGGGAAGAGGAAAACCGACTGAGATGGTGCTCTGCTAATTCTCTCAGACCGTGGGCAAAAATACCCAGCGCAAGGTCTTGGCAGGTGGTAGATTCCTGGATGTTGAGTGGTGGGCTCTGACATTCTTGTGTTGGTTTCACAGCAGATGTGTGCGTGGGTCAGGTTTCTTTACCCAGCGATTGTGCCATGTCTCTGTCCCCGGGGGCCCCTGTTTGCCTCTTTTTTCCCCCAAGGAATTGTGAGAAAGCATTATTAGCAAGCCTTGATAGTGGTGGAAACAGAAGCAGAGGGTTTTGGCAAATGCATTCTAAAGCTCTCTCCTATGTGCTGGTGTGGGGAAGAGGGTGTGGGGTGGTGGGGATAGGGAGCAGGTGTCTCTTTGGGAGCAGGACTTAGGTGTGGGATGTGGGCGATGACTTTCTTTCAAACTCTCCAAGCTTACTTTCATAGAACTTTTTCTTGTTTTGCGCTCCAGAGCCACCTGTCTATAATTTCACTCAGCAAATATTTACCAATCCCCAGTATAATAAAATACTAAGATTTACCATTTATGGGGCACTTGAAAGTACTTTCAACTCAGCCTCTCACCCTCAGCAACCTTGGGGAAAGCTACCTCCTTTTCCAGATGGACAAACCAATTTCACTATGAGATTGATCACTGCCTCTATGGGATCGTTTCCGGGCTAAGTCCAGTGTGGGGAGAAATCCAATCACTCATTCAGGGACATCCACTGGCAAGGGTGAGAAGAGTCAGGCACTCTATCTGGGGGAGATAGAAAGATATGAAAAAGAACCAGAAAAAGCCTCTGCCCTTAAGGCCCTGACAATGACGGGGGAGTTAACTGGCAGGCAAAGCAACTGAGCCGTGTGCCCTGGTGCTGTCTGCAGAACGCAGCTGTGCCAGCGTGGAGAGCAGAACTGCTATTTCTGTCTGGGGGGGAGTCCTCCTGGGGGTCACTGCATGAGTCTCAACGATGTGTTCATTTTTGAGGGAGCGCGGGCAGTGGAGCAGGCGATGGGGCCTTCTTACGGGAGACAGGAAGCCCAGTAGGGAAGAACTTTGGTTAGAGGGGGAGGTCAGGCAAAGCCTCTTTGAGGGTGCCTGAGTGGTGGAAGTCCTGGAGTTCTGGTCTTTGGGATGAAGGGACAGACAAGAGCTGGGGGCTTTAGTTTGGGCTCTGGGCTTAAAGGCAGGCAGATAAAGTGAAGGCAGAGCCCATCTTTAGGATCACTGGGTCCTGGACACAAAGCATCACTGACTGAGCCTGAGGCTGTCTGTGGGGTCCAGGCCACAGCCACCAGAGCCCCCAGCCTGGGTGCAGATGACCACCCCAATGGAGGGGTGTGGCCCCTTTTTCCATCAGGAGCTGGGAGAGTGGGGGAGTTGCAGTCCGGAGGAGGAGACTCTTGGGAGAGGCCCACTGTGGGGACTTGAAGGCCCAAACCTAGGGCAGCCAGCCCAGAAGCAGCAAAGGCCAGGAATGATGGGGGAGAGTGGAGTGGCCATGTTCAAGGCAGCTTGGCAGAGCCTGAAGCGAGGAGCCGAGGGTAGAAACAGTCTGGGAAGGGCTTTTACTGCCAAACATCAAAACGTGGGCACTGGGAAGAGGATTGTTTTTTGAGCCCAAGAATGCTGTGGTCAAACCTGACCCCTGTACGCCCACCCCCACCCCGCTATCTCTGGCACCCATGAAAATGCTTCTAAAGATAAAGTTTGTCTTGTGTTTCACTAGTGTATTCCCAGCACCTAGCACAGTGCAGCCATTTAGTAGGTGATTAATTAATGTTTAATAAATATATATACCTATATATATATATATATATATATATATATATAGACACACACACATACACACACACACCCATAGATCTTGTATTAAACATTTTTGAACCTTGGTGAAAAATATATAATATACACTAACAGGTAATACTAAAACATACACCAAAAAATTTTAATAAAGCAAATATTAAAGAAAAGAAAAAGAGACACACATTAGTGGTCAAAGTGTGATCACTTCCAGGGAGAGAGAAATGGAGTTGAAATAGGCTAGAAAGTAGACTTCAATTGAGTCTGATTTTTTAAAAAGATTTATTTATTTATGCATACAGGAACTGGGGTGTAGGCCAGAGGTGTCTTATACCTGTTGCTTAAAGAAACAGCTGTCTCTGGTTTTAAACAAAATTTTGTCCTTTGTTCTTCCCAGGGTCAAGATGACCACAGCCACCCCTGTGGGAGAAACCCCCTTCTCACTGAATGTGACCAACAGGGAAGAAGACTTTCTATACAAGAGTAAGGTCAACTTGGCTCGGTGGTCCTGGGGGTGGGGGGGGGGACATCAGTCATGGGCAACTCCTGGTGCAGAGGTCAAGAGCATGGGCGCTGGTGGAGTCTCAGTTCCAATTCTACCCCTCGCCAACTATATGACCCTGAGTATGAGACTTCATTGCTCTGTGCCTCAGTTTCCACGCCTATAAGATGGGAATATTTAGGACACTACCACACAAAGTAGGTGTGGGAGCTAAAAGAGATAATTCACTGAAGAGCTTAGAATAACCTCAATGCATGCCTAATTGGTCATCATTATTACTATTATTATGCATTGGTGCATCAGCAACACTGAAAAAGAAAAGAAACAGGACGCATGGGAGCAGACTGTGGGATGCAGGATGCCACTCAAGAGCAAGATCCTGGCCTTTTTATTGACAGAGAAGGGTGGGTCAAACTGAACACTGGATTTGGAACTTTAGGGAGGGTGAGTCTGCTGATACACTCCCAACCCCAACCCATGGCTCCAGTCTTATTAACAAGGTGTTCCACTGATCAGTCCCTGGGGCGCAAAGTGCATCCAGCCCCCCAGGCTTTCCAGGTCATACCTGGTGATGTATACCTATTGCCCCGGGCGACCAAGTGTCCTATTCTTGTCTAACTTGAAAGGAGCTTTGTACACCCGCAATGCACTGATAATTTCATTAGGAAGTCTTGTGGATTAGAGAACAATGCAAATTTAAGATGTCCCTAAATGGATCACCTTAAGATGTGTTTTTTTCACACTATTTTTGCAAGGAAAAAACATCCCATCAATTTACAAAGGAGTAAATGGATAAAGCTGGGGAATTAGTTCTGGAGAGACTTTGGCCAGGAACAAGGGTCCCCAGGAGGGAACTTTGAGGCCAACTCTTCACTCTTCACTTGTATAAGGGGAAGTTTGGGGGCCATTCCAGTCATTTCCATTGAAATGTGTATACCTCTGGGATGGAACAGACTTCCTGAACACATGGAGCTTCTCCCAGGGATCAACAGGTCCAGGCTGTTGGATTGATGGCAGGATGCACCCCTTCCATGGAGACCGAGCAAAGTGCCTCTCAGAGAGGGTCCCATGGGTCAGCCTGCTCCTGGCTGGGTGGGGAGACCAGCAGAACATGCTGAGGTGTGTCTCAAACAGATCTAAAAGGAAATGCAGGCTAGATGGATTCACTGTCAGTGCTATGGAAACAATTCTGTTATTATTTAACTGAAAGCAGAGCTTCTCAACTAGGTGATTTTGCATGCCCTAGATAGAGTTCCCAGATTCAGTAAAGAAAAACACAAGACACTTGGGAAATTTGAATTTAAGATAATAATTTTTTAAAAAGATTTATTTATTTTATACAAGAACCGGGGTACAGGCCAGAGGTGCAGGAGGGTGAAAGAATTCACCAGAGACAGAGCAGGGAGCAGAACAGGCAGACTGACTGAAATACACTGCTGAGGGGAGCAGTGAGCAAGTCAGGAGAGGTCTGCCACACCATGTGGGTTTCTCCCTGGCCGGCTGGGAATCGAACCCGCACTGCAGAGCTTCACAGTGCTGTGCTCAACCCGCTGTGCCACCAGGGAGGCCCTAAGATAATAATTTTGTATAAGTGTGTGATATGCAGTATTTGAGATTCACTAAAATATTATTCATCATTTGTCAGAAATTCTAATTTAAATAGGTATTTTCTTTTTTTTTCAAGATTTATTTATTCATGCGTATAAGAACGGGGTACAGGCCAGATGCACGGGAGGATGAGAGGATTCACCAGAGACAGAGCGGGGAACAGAACAGGCAGACAGAGTGAAATACACTGCTGAGGGGAGCAGCAGGCGATACGGGAGAGGTCTGCAACATAATATGTAGTATTTATATGTGTGTATATAATAATATTATATTCCACATTCTGCATATCATTTAAATTATAGCAAACTAAATCTTGGGGTAAGTGTGCCACCCCTACCTTATTGAATCATTCTCATATTTAGAATATGAATAGTGTTATAAGAAATATCTTCATTCATACAGCTTTTTCTGTATTTAAGGTCATTCCCAAAGAAAAACTCCCTGGAATAAAATAGATTAATTTAAAGAATAAACATGTTTATAGTTCTTGAGATCTTCAACATCAATTCTGGTAAGGATAATGATCTTGAACTCCAAAGGGGAGTTTGGCTTTGGGATAGGGTACTGATATGAAAATTAGAATCTGTGTTATTAACCAAAAGGACATTCACCATAGTCTTGTCTTTATTTTATTTTATTTTTTTAAAGATTTATTTTTATTTATTTATACAAGCATTGGGTACAGTCAGAAGTGCGGGAGGATGAGAGAATTCACCAGAGCCAGAGCGGGGAGCAGAACAGGCAGACTGACAAAGTACACTGCTGAGGGGAGCAGTGGGCGGCAGGAGAGGTCTGTGCGCCATGTGGGACCCTCCTCTGGTGGCCGGGGAGCAGCTGGGGATCGAACGGGCGCTGCAGACTGCAGGCAGCTTCGCAACCCAGTGTTCGACCGCTGCGCCACCGGGGAGACCCATAGTCTTGTGATGTAAAATTGAAAACAACACAAATATCCTGAAGACAATTGATAAACCAATTACAGCACATCGAAACAATGGAGTACAGTCATTAAAAATCATTCAGAAAGAAAAAAAATCATGCAGAAAAATCAGTGATTGCTGTAATACAGTCTATAAAGCATGGCTCCATTTTTATCAAGAATGCATTTTTTTCATATTTGTGACTTTCCTTAAGATGGGTTTTCAGACAGGATTAATAAATAATGTTTAAAAGATTGGTGGATATTTAATATGCGACTGTACACATAAGTGATCACACTGGTGAATGTATACACATATAGGTGATCAGTGGTTCTTAAGGCAGTGAGATCTTTATTACCCCCCCATTTTTACTTGCATTTATATTTTCAAAAATATGTACAAAAATCTCATATTACTTTTGTATTATCAAAAAGAGGGCAGTTCTTGGGCGTCCTTGGTGGCGCAGGCGGTTGAGCACCGCACTGTAAAGCTGTCCACAGCCTCTGCAGCACGGATTCGATCCCAGCCAGTCAGGGAGATACCCACATGGTGGGGCAGACCTCTCCTGCCTCGCCCGCTGCTCCCCTCAGCAGTGTATTTTGTCAGTCTGCCTGTTCTGTTCCCTGCTCTGTCTCTGGTGAATCCTCTCACCCTCCGCGCATCTGGCCTGTACCCCGGTTCTTGTATAAATAAATAAATCTTTAAAAAAAAAAGAGGGCAGTTCTGCAAAGCAGTGTGAAGCTGCATCAGGGCTGATGAGAACTTGGGGGGCTGATGTGCTGAAGACATGGCCCCATGGGGAGAGGCTGCGGTGCCACTCTAGATGGGGTCCCCGAGGAGTGTCCCAGGATATCACATTCTCTCGTCATCCTCTGGACCCGGTGGGGCTGTCATGTGGTGTGCTGCAGTAGGGCTCCCTTGCCCCTGCCCCAGACTCTGAGTGCTTCCTGCTCTTCTGTGCACTGTCTCCTCTCCACTCCCCGCCTCCTTGTAGGCTCTGGAGCCATCGTGGCCGCCATCGTGGTACTTGTCATCATCATCTTCACAGTGGTCCTGATCCTCCTGAAGATATACAACAGGTATGGAATGCCGGGGCTTTGGGGCTGTCTGGTGCCTGTCATGGCATCAGAATAAATGAGAACTAACCCTTGTGGGTGCCTGTCATGTGTCCAGTGGTACCAGAAGCCCCCATCAAAGGCTCCAACACTGCAGGGTTCGTTTTATTGTTTGTTCTGCTAGAGAAACTTCACAGTGACCAAATGTTTTTGTATTTGCAGGATTTTTTTTTATTATTTCATTTATGCGTAGAAGAGCTGGGGTGCAGGCCAGAGGTGTGGGGGTAGGGTATGAGAGGATTCACCAGAGACAGAGTGGGGAGCAGAACAGGCAGATCTACCGAAATACACTGCTGAGGGGAGCAGCGGGCGAGACAGGAGAGGTCTGCTGTGGCATGTGGGTCAGCTCCCTGGCTGGCCGGGCATCGAACTCAGGCTGCAGAGGCTGGCAATAGCTTGATAGCACTGTGTCTTTAACCCCTGTGCCACCAGGGAGGCCCTGCAGAAATATTTTTTAAGTGTAGTGATGGTAACAATGACCTGAGCACTCTAATGAACACTTGCATGTAATTTACAGATAATCGAGGTACGTTTCAATCTTCCTGTCTTAGGAAGGCCTCTGCTAGGCTGAACTGAATGAGCCACATGAGTATTTCAGATGACAAATGTTGGAATGCACATACTGGTCACTCCACTTTCTAGAACCATGTATGAGGAAATAAAATTTTAAAAACTAGGAAATAATTTGATTGCAGAAGAAAAGTATTATCATCTATAGGGACAACTTTGCTAAAAGTTTATTCTTTTTAAATTTTTTTAATTAAAAAGTTAAATGCAACCACATCATAGAACTAAAAGCCATTTGGGGATAAAGGTATTCTGAAGTGTATTTATTGATGAGGAAAGCTATTTATAATATATTGTTAAAGTTTATACAACTATGTAAATTATGATCACACACATCCAAAGAAGGTTCAAATTGTTGGGGTTCAGATGATGAGGTCTGGTGCATGGGGTTCTTGGGACCCTCTGAGGAAGAATTCAGTAGATGTTGCCATTTACCAGCACACAGCAATTTTATTAAGGAAAAGAGAAAAAGGAAAGAGATGGCCCCATAGATTCTAGCAGGCAGTCCTAAGAGACAAGAACTGCATTTTGTTAGAGTAAGGGATGTTTATTGTGTTCCTTGATAGAATTATTGTGGCAATTATAGCCTTGGGTAAGATTGGGCTGGTCTTCTATGATTGATAATCTTTTCTGATCTCATCTCTGGCTGATAATCTTTTCTGGCCCCACCTCAGATTCCTAGAACCTTCCATAGCCCAATTTAATTTAAGATTCATTAGTCATCCCTACCCCCACCTCTGGTGTTTGTCCTTGTGAGATCTTCTATCTTAAGTTTTTCTACTCTAGGTGTCCATCATAGCCACCTGTCTGACACTGTATTCATTCACTAGTAGAGAAAAATATTAAATACTGAATTTAGGTTAAATGAGAAATTGAAGGATCAAATTAGCTGATGTCCAAGGTCCTGTCTCATTGTAAAACTGTGGTTGGCAATTAAACAACATGATCTAATGATGATTTACATTTGTGTTTTCCCTAGAGCAGTAGTCATAGAGCCCGTTCCCCAGGACATACAAGGGAAAACTCAACCATGCCTGTGCCTCTCGTTACAGGAAAATGAGGACAAGGCGGGAGCTGGAGCCCAAGGGCCCCAAGCCAGCCCCACCTCCTGCCCTGGGCACAAGCAGCAACAGTAGCCAGCACCCGGCCACCGTGACCTTCAGCCCTGTTGATGTCCATGTGGACACTCGGTGACCCCCACCTTGGTGCTGACTTGGCCACTGTCCAGAGAGCCTTCTCCAGTCGAGACCAAGAAGCACTTTCTCTTCTGGCAGCTTCACTATGAGTTTCTTCTGGTCAGATTGACAGGGGCATTTAGGCTTCAGGCAACCCCCAACCTTGTCCAGCTCCAACGCACCCCAGGCACATCCTTGTCCCTGCTGCCACCTTCCCAAAGAGCCGTGGAACATTCCTCTGTTAACTGATGAGGCAGTGCTCTGTAGAGAATCCACTCAGGTGGGTCTGGCTCTCGCTTCCCCCAAACACCAGAGCTAGACAGACAGACAGACAGACTCTCAGATGCCAAGTCTTCTGCTCAGGAGTCAGGGCTCAGGGCAAACCCCTGAGAGTGTCATAAGTGGTCATATCAGAGTAAGGGCCATATCCACAGCTTACAGAACAAAAGCTTCAATTCCCATAACCAGGCACAGGGGAACTAACTTGGACTAACTAGCCAGAAATCCAACTTGTTAATTAAACACTTGTTCCAGAACTAGATGACCGCTGGCTGGCTCCTGACAATCAGTGAGCGTGTTTTTCCCTCTTTACGAATGGTTACAGAGAAAACTGGGTTTTTCTCAAAAGGTTTCATTAATACAGAGTCAAAGTAGAAGGGAGGCCAGGGTTTAGGGGGAGGACCCTGAGGATCATGGGTTGGAGGACAGACACTTTTGGCCCAGTGGCTGGTCCCTCCTGCCCCTCCATCTGGGGCTGTATTAACCTTGACTCAGTCTCATTTCTTGGCTCCCCTTCAGTGTGGATTCTAAGTAATCCCAATTTCAAGTTAAACCTTATCTCCAAGGACCAGTATTCGGATATCAGTTAGATTACAACTCTATATTACCTGTACCCTTCCTGATCACCTTGCAGAGCTCAGGACAAATTTAAAAGTACCACCTTCACAAACCATTCTCTGTAGTGAGCTAATCCCTTTGCCTCCTTAACCTGGAGAACAATCTACCGAGAGTGGGAAGCATTTGGGAATTAAGAAGACCTGCCGGGCAAGCCCTCCTTCCTAGCTGTGTGACCTTGGAAATGAGACTCAACTTCTCCATATTTGGTTTCCTAACCCTAAGTGGGAATGATGACATCTGCCTCACTGGGTCACCACAAGTTAAGGACTTAGTAAAGCAGAAAGCAGCACCTGTACCCGGCAGATACTCGATGATCTGGAACAGCAACAGTATCTATTCAATTGCAAGACAGAAAATTTTGAAATCAGAATGTCTTAAAATTGATGGGTCCATTAATGTAGTTTATTTTTCTTCTTTCTCTCAAAAAGTTATATTTTAATCAATTGTGCATCTTAACAGTTGAAGGCATCTTGGAAAAAAGGTAACAAATCCTTACTCTGTTACAGAAAGTGACACACTCTACCATTAACCTCAAAAATCTAGGACTCTCTTCTTCTTGGGGACCGATCCCTTTTGAGGGGAAGATCAAGAGTCTGCTCATGTCATCTCATTATAAAAATCCTTACTTGATTATATCTGGAGAGCTATTGGAAAATTCTTCCTCCCTATGCATATAACTTTTCTGCTTACTGAGTTTAACTCTCCACCAAGAACCAGACACTTTGAAAGGTGCTTTCATATAAGTTATCTCATTAGATTTATTTTTCCCAATAACCCTGGGAAATACTTTTTTTTTCTATTTGCAGATGAGAACTTCAAGCTCAAAAAGAAAAAGTACTTGCCCCAAACCATAGAGCTAGTAAAGTGCAAAGACAAGACTCAGACCCAGACCTCTTTGCCCCCAAAGTCCATCCTTTTGTTATATCACATTCTTCTCTACCATTTGGTTCAAAGATTATGGGTTGAACAAGAGAAGGATAGGTTGTCCATGTGTCCGAGTGGAGGTCAGGAAACTTCCAAACCAAAAGTGGGACACTTTGGTAGCTTCCTTTGGGGTCTCAAGATTGTAGCCAAAGTCTCCTTTCTAGCCCACCCATGCTGTAAGTCCTTCTGCTTTGTTCACTCAATCACTTCAGCCCAAGGAGCAAGGGGTGGACTGGCATTGAACCAAGGCAAAGGCATCAATTTAAGGATTCCCACCACAGATAGATTTATTTCCCAAAAATTATGCTTTAAAAAGTTTTTTTGTTTGGTTTGGAATGTTCCAGGTCTGAAGCCAGTCTCTTCTACCCACAGTGGAATCTTCCTGGAATTACTAGAGGAATATTCCTCTGGTATATGTTCTTGTGAAAGCTTAGATGTGGAGGAGAGAAGGGGAGGTAGAGAGGTGAGGGAGAAGCAAAAAAATGGGTTTAATTCTTTGTAAACTAATTCTTTGTAACTCCGTAAGCATCCTTGGGGGGTGCCTGTGTGCAAGTTGAGGTGCTACCAAACAAGCAACGTCACGGTGTCCACTCTCAGGTGGGCGCCTGTGACAGGGATCTTGCCACATGGTTGTATAACTTGTATAACAGATGCCCTTCCTGACTGACCAGAGGCTGCTTTATTTGGCCACTGAATCAATAAAAGATATTAAATGCTTAAAGAAAACTGTCTCCTGATCTTTATCCCCATAGGACAATGTTATCTCTAAGTAGAATAACACTGTGCAAACACTTGTTTCTGGCTTCTTTTACAAAACCGGGTCTGTGTGATACTTGTTCCTATTGTCACATATAGTTGAAGGTCATTAATTCGCATTCTGGTAATATTTTATTTTATGACTGTGCTTCATTTTATTTTCCACTCCACTGTCTGGTGTACAGAGACAGTGTCTAGGAGACAAGCAATGAAACAAACAGGACGCAGGGTGAGCCTTCTGTGATGGGAGGAGCCGTCTGTCCAGGGGGTAATGTATGTCTCTTGCTGGTGCACCTAGTTCAGCCAGGGCTTGGCAGGTGGGAAAGAAGACTCCCCAGGAGAACTAATACCTAAACTGAATGAAAAAAGGAGTAGGAGTTTGTCATAGGCAGCTTGGGAGGAGAGGAAGAGAGAGAAGCTTTAGTTTAGCAGCTGATGTGCCAGGCGGCGGTGGTAGTTGGGGCAGGAGAGAATGAGGTTCCAGTAAGAAGACCTGTTTGGGTGCTAAAGGCAGGGGGAGTCACTCAAGGTGCTTGAGCATTGAAGTGACAAGCCCAGATTTGTGCTTTAAGGAGTCATCCTGCTACAGTGCCCAGAATGAATTGGCATGAGAGAGACTGGAGGGTAGGAGAACAATCTCGAGTCTATTCCAAGAAGTAGCAGGCACATCTGTGTGTCTATCTGTGTTAGTTTTGAAACGCTTTTACTAAAAGCATTCTAATTGTCAAGTTGGGCTCTTTTTCTTTTTTTTTCAGTAGCTATTTGTGGGTGTGCAGTAACCCAACAAAAATGTCTCCAGGAGTCAATGCGGGCCCACGGGGTGGGAGCACACAGTACGGCATTGTCTTAGCTCTGTAGCCCTTTGTCCCAGACACCCGTGCCCTTCACAGAAAATTCCCTGGCAAAGGAACAAATTGCTATGATTCAGCAGATACCACTGCCCCCGACACCAACGGTCTGCCCACGTGTGGGAGAAGCAGGTAAAAACGAGATGACCCTCAGGTCTCCAAAGGTATGAAATTGGTCACAGTCCAGATGATCGCAGAGAGGCCCCTTACCAGCTCTAACGCAGTCTCTTGAGTGACTTTTACCTGGGCCTCCTGATATTCTTAAAGAATTGTGAAGCGCCTTATTGACCTCAGAGAAATAGAACCAATTTGTTCATTCCTTCCAACTTTCCAGCTCTTGCCTTGGAAGGGTGGAAAAGTGATTAAACAAGTGAGCAAACATTCATGTATGAATAGTCACAACCTGAGAAAAGCGTCTGTGAACTGGGTATTTGGTGCTGCATAATAAAAGCAGAGAGGAGGGCCTCCCTGGTGGCGCAGGGGTTAAAGACACAGCTTTGTCAAGCTATTGCCAGCCACTGTAGCACCTGTGCCATCCCATCCGGGGAGCTAACCCCAGGAAGCGCAGCAGACCTCTCCTGTCTCTCCCGCTGCTCCCCTCAGCAGTGTATTTCAGTACGTCTGCCTGCTCTGCTCCCCACTCTGTCTCTGGTGAATCCTTACCAACCGTACCTCTGACCTGCCTCAGCTTTTGTATGTATAAATAAATAAAATAAATCTTTTTTTAAAGTATCTTACAGGTGAGGACAGACTGGGATGAGGAGTGCCCCATAGCAATGGACAGAGGGCACAAGCAAAAGAAGGTGGACTACACATGGGGACAAGCGTGGAGGTCAAGTGGAACCACTGTCTTTGTCCTTCTGCTCAGTTTGATGACCTGAGACTTGGGCAACTCCAGTGGATGGTGATGGGACTGTTGGGCCAGAGGCCTTGGAGCTGCTGGTGGTGTTACAGAGGAAAGAGGAGGGTCCGTAGTCCCTGCCCCACCTGATGAAGCATTGCTGAGCAACCAGGAAGAGAAGTGTAGGAGAATACATTGGATGAGAACTCTTGGAAGAACACACAGGAGGGGAGGCACATGGAGCAGAGACATTTGAAGAAGTCCCGTTTGCTTCTCAGCTCTGAACTTGCACCAGGGACCTGGGGACCATGGAAAGAGACACCTGGGGTTGAGACATGTAAACACACTTGGAAAAGATGTGGGTGAGAGACCCATGGGGAGGCTGTCATAGGCAACCTTTACCATGATTTATATTTGATTTTCTTCTTTCATCCCCAACTTGCCTGGCCCCTTCTGCGTCTTTCCTATGGTTCCCGCCAGAAGGTGCCTTATGCTTGTGGGAGGCTTTTGGGCCTCAGTAGCTCTGCCTTGGGCCAACACTTTTGGCTGGGCATTTACCCACAAGGGGATGGGTAGTTGGAGAGTTTTATTACTTTAAATCCTTTCTTCTCTCTCTCCGACACCAATTCTATTACAAATCTATTATACTAAAAGTGAGCTTCCTTTGCCTTTGTACACATGGATGGTCAAATTCCTTTTAGAAAATGCACCCCTTGTTTGGGGTACCCTTGGTTGCATGCTAACAGAATCAAGTGAGTGTAAGAGGAATTTACAATCAAGAACAAATGCCCTTGGGTTTCAAGACAACTTTGAACTCTTAGTCTCCTCCCCACCATCAACAAAAAAGTATCCCAAAAGATGATGAGTCTGTTAGTGGGCAGAATAAGGGGGCACCCTAGGGCCCCCAAACCCACATACTCCAAATGGGTTCTGCTACCCACTGCATTTAAGACAAACCATTCTCTTAGTGCAAAAGAACTCTAAAAGAACTCTAATAGAGAGAGAACAGAAGAAAGGATAATAGTTTTCCATTAAAACACTCAAAGTTACCCATCTCCTTGAGGGCAAATGCCCAGCCATATAGGGTTGGCCCAAAGGGAGGCTGCTGAAGCCTAAAAAATTGATGCAAATCTAGGGCAACTTCCAGCAGGGAGCCACAGGAAAGGAGTAGAAGGGGCCAAGCAGTTGGGGATGAAAGGAGCAAAGGTCATAGCTGCCATGTTGGCTTTCCCATGTGTCTCTCACCCATGTATTTCTTCCGTGTCCCCAAAGCCCCTGGTGCAGGGCCAAGGCCAAGCAGCAAACCGGAATTCTTCCCATGTCTCTGCTCCACATGCCTCCTCCTGTCTCCTCTTCCAAATCTCCTTTAAGTCTTTTCTAGCTTCCCCTCTGCTCAGCTCCACCCTTCGCTGGGTGGGGCTGAGAATCTGGAACCTCCTCTTTTTATGAGAACAGTCTTAAACATCTGTTGTATGCCTTACTATATTTAAGGACACTAGACTGAATAGATAGTCAGGACTCGGCTAACAACCAAACTAATCAAATCAAGTCCTTGTGAAATCTTTTTCTAATGAGAGTCCTGGCCTAGCATGACCTATTATCCTGAGATAATAGACCGCCATCTAGTGACTTGTTATTACTACTGTAGAAATATGTAAGAATTAGAAAACCCCAGATTGCTACTTCCATGTTTTATGTATTTGATACTTATATATGGAAAAACAGCTTGAAATCTTGTACTTTGACAGCTTGATATATTAACAATAAATTCAACCAAGTTTTTACTTTATTTTGAAGAGTTTCTGGCCTTGTAATCTTCTCTGGTTATTTGTAGGATAGAAAAACAGTAAACAAAATTGTCATGCAATTATCACTGAAATAAATTATCACTGAAATAAATATGGGAATAACCACAAGGCACTAATGAATCATAAAGTGTCTATTTAATATAAACATGTATAGTACAGTGGCTAAAGAAAAGCTTTAGTGTCTAGAAACTATTATTCCTAACTATGATGCCAGACTTAATTCAACTATTAAAACTCTTAATAAAAAGTTGTAGTTATACTCATACCCACTGTTAACATTTTATACTTTCTTGATGAAACTTTATTCTTGTATCCCAAAATTTTATTCTATGATGGTAATTTTAGCCTAGGCAGAATATTATTTTTAACGCTCAACTATCATGTATTTACCCAAAATAAGTATTTCTGGACATCTACCTAGAATCTATTATATGCCAGACTCTGGTGTGGATATTGACAATAAAGAAGGGAGGGAAATATAATTCTTATCTTCAAAGTTCTTGTGGGGAACAGGAGTAGAGATGAATATATACGTAATTAGAAGATACTGAAACACACTAGAGGGACTGTGGGAATCCTGTTTTGGGAGGTCTGGGCCAACGGTTTGGACAGACTCAGCAGCACCCTAAATAATAATCAGTAAGTACTGACTCTTACTAAACAGAAATACTTCCAGGAAGCCATCTCATGCAAACTAAATCCTAAAGGAAGAATCTGAGCTGGACCATTAAAAGTTTAAAGGTAGAGAGGCAAGGTGGGCAGGGCAAAGGAAGGACTGGAACAGACTAAGCAGGGCAGAATATGTGCAAAGATCCTGACAGGAGAGAAAGGATACAGAACCCTTAAGTGTACAAGCTCCTGTCATTACATTTTTGCAACTTACTGAAGTTCTTCACCTGCTTGTATTCATGTCCTGTGCAGTTCCTTCCAACACTAAATAAGTACAATCTGTGTAAACAATAGGATATTGTGGAAAATATGATCTTTGACTTCTGTGGTTAGGTTATAAAAGACCTTGTGGCTTCTGTTTTGCCTTTTTTATTATTAGTGTTTGCTGTGGAGGATGTCGTTTGCCAAATCATATACAGCACTGTTGAGAGTTCTGGTAGGCTAGGACCTGAGACCCTTTGCCAACAGCTTCATGAATGAGGCTTCTTGGAAACAAACCGTCCAGTCCCACTTGACTGTAATCTAGCCATTCTCTTAACTAAATTCTCTTGAAAGATCTGACCAGAACCACTCAAATAAGTCATTCCAGATTCCTGATGCAAAGAAATGACATGAGATAACAAATGTTTTAAGCTGCTAATTTGGGGAGTAATTTATTATTCAGCAATAGATAGCCAGTGCATTCAATAATGTGGTCCAGACACCATCCAGAGGAAAAAAAAAAATGATCAGCTTTCATCCATCAGTCATTTGCTTCTTAGTTATCAGATTAATGTATAGTTTTTTAA